GACAGAGACCAGTGACTCACACCAGTAATCCTATCTACTCAGGAGGCTGAGATCTGAGGATGCCAGTTGGAAGCCAGCCTAGGCAGGAAAGTCCATGACACTCTTACCTCCACTTACGCACCAAAAAAGCTGGAAGTGGAGCTGTGGGTCACATGGTAGGGTGCTGGCTTTGAGCAAAAAAGCTTAGGGAGAGCACCCAGGCCTTGAGTTCAAGCTCTAGTACCAGCATGCACACACAAAAAGAACAGTGTTTACAGAATCTCCAAATACCACTTCTGTAACTCATGTGTTGGACCCACGGTAGATTTTGTTATTTAATGCCACACATTAAAAATAGCACAATTATGTTATATATTTGTTTTTAGAAGTGTTGTAATAATTGTGGTTCAATGTAATTAAATTGGTTTCACTTAATTTTAGGCACTTAGAAATATTATTCTGAGCAAGGCTCTAACGGCTTCACCGACTGCCAAAGGGTTCCGGATACAAAATGGTCCAGATGCTCAGCTCTGAGCATGAGTTCTGGAGCCAGATCCAGCCAGTATTATTTGCAAGTTAAAGCACATTAAGCAGGTTCCATAGCCAGGCTTCTCACTTCCCACCTTTAACAGGTGGCTGCATAATTCATTGTTGGATGTCAGGGTACAGTGGGCACTTTCCTGGCACTGTAGGATGTACCACCATGGACTCTGTTTTCTAGATAGCAACCCACTTCCAGTAGTGACAACCCAAACTTCTCCTCCAGACATTGCCACATGTCTCCAAGGAGCGGGGAGGGGGCAGGGTGGCCTCAGTAGTGAAGTGTACGGGGCAACACTAGAAGATTCCTTGGGGTTAACTGAGATAATAATGTGTGGGTACTGGAGCACTCAATCAGTGTTTGGTTTTAAAAAATCCATTCCTGTTAGATTAAGTTCTGAGTCATGGGGTCCAGGTATAGATCCACAAGAAAGGTCCTCTTGAACCATTGGTTCCCGTTATTATAGTAACTCGGATGGGGAGCCTGGAGTACCGGTCTGTGGTGAGCTCATACTGGGATGCAGAAGAGAGGACCTGCTTCATGACCTGAACAATGCGGGCAGAGAGATAAGCTTCAGATGGGCAGGAAAGATGGAAAGCAGCTAACCCAATCTCAGTTTCTTTAAGGCAAGAAGATCAAGGACAACAAGGAGCAAGTTCTTGGCTTCAAATATTTGTCATGGTTTCTCCTTTTATTCTAAGGCAAATACTTACCTCCATCACGTGACCCCTGGGCCTTTATGGGCTGGCCTTGTAGCCCCCAGCTCTCCCTACCCCATCTCCAACAACCCAACCACTCCATTTCTAAAATATACCATTCATCTCCCATTCTTCCTGTAGCCACAATGGCTTGGAACCCATGGATAGGCTCTCAGCCTGACAAGTTTGTGGCTTCCATTCAGGCAGCTGGGCCACGCACCTGCTGATTTAAAATGATGCATTGTGGACACCCAGGGACTGACTTCCAGCCCACTGTGGGATGGTGCAGTCACGGTCTGCTACGGCAGTTAACCACAACTTCATTGACGCACTCGATCTGTGTTAAGTTTTATGATTCAATACCACCATCCTCAATATTCTCCCTCCCTGACAAGCAACTGCTGCTCTCCGGGGCCCAGTATTTCCTGCTAGACCAGGCATCTTGACTGTGGACTTTCCCCTTTATCACCTTGGAAATGTATGGGTGTTAACTTTTATGCTTTAAATCCAAAATAGACAATAAAATTAGGAAAGACGGTTAGCGATAATCTACAGGGTTGCCTGTGATGATGAGCTGAGTCCTTCAGAGTCCTTGGGGGTGGGGGGGTGGCATTTCTAGAGGTTGTCCTGTCCTCCTGAGCAGAACTTTCCATAGCATACAGGCCAGGGCTGCGCTGAGAAGGAGGGCAAAGACCTGATGAGGACCTGTGAAGAGAAGTCCAGGAGGTCAGGAATAGCTGTCAGTCTATCTGCTCAGGATAACCCCTAAAAGCTTCGCCTCGAGCTTCACTTGGAGGGTGATAGGATGCAGGTGGGTCAAAGGTGACTGGGTGTACAGGGCGGAGTTAATCACACACCTAGCAGTCTCCCTACCACTCATAAGGGAGACAGTAGCTTCCGGGAATCAGATATTTACCATGAGCTGGTATGTGACTTCCCTAGGCCGTCATTCTCCTGCAGTCCTTCCTCAAGGCAGAGATAAACCATCTCTAACTTCTGCATGAAGAAATCAAGGTCCAGAGAAGTAACTTTTCTGACTGCACAGCCAGGAAACAGAGGAGACAAGTTGGGAAGCGAGGTAGCATTCTCTTCTGAAGCCTCAGCTCTTCCATGATGCGGTGCTGCCTCTGTGGGAAGCAGCTGGAGATGGGGCTGCCCTAAGGGTGGGGGTGGGGGCTGCCTGCTGGGTACTGAGGGAGGGAGAAAGGGTGCAGAAGCCATTGAACATAGGGCCCCAGAATCCTCTGCGTTTCACAATCCTGGGCCTGACGTGTGTCTGACAGCTGCAGGAATACGAACAAGGCAGCCTTTGGCCCTGTGCCAGCTGCTGGATTGGGTGTAATTAGGTGGGAAAAGATCCAGAAGATTCCACACCAGTAAGCCACACCCTTGCAATTAAGAGAAGCTACATGGAAATGAAGTGTGAAGATGTCCATGACCATTACTGTGTTCATGATGGGGAGAAATCAGCCAGAAACTCATGCTTGTGGTTCTGTGGGAGCAACACTTCAGTGACCCTCCTGTTGGCCTTTACCTCAGGCACGCTCTTGGGGGATGGCCCTTGGCCCTCCCCAAGGTGAAGCTGGACACGATTCTCCGTTACACTGCTAGAATACCGATTCACCACGTGCCAGGTCTGTGTTCGCAATGAGATGGCAGGAGGGGGGGGGTGATTCTTCATCTCTTACACTCAAGAGGGATGTTGAAAAGAAATGAGTCTGAATCAACATGCTTAGAATACCACGAAGATTCTTCCTGCCACATACACTCATTACAGTGACGAAAAATCACCATTGAGTTTGTGATACGCTCACAACGCAGGGGAATCCTGGGGACGTGGTTGGGAATTGATGCTGCAGGCGAGCAGGCCTCGCCTTCATGCCTGCAAGATGCCCGTGGCACTGTGGTACCTGTTTCCACAGGGGCTGGGGCTGGAGGCAGTCCTGAGTGTGGTCTGCAGGTGAGTGCTGCCTGCTGCTGAAACATTTCCTGCAAGGAGGACGGGACCGCCCCAGACATAGTCCCCAACTCCTACCTCTTCTGGCCATGAAAAATGATACACAAACCTGTATTGGGCATGGGAGAAAGGAGAGGTGTGGGAGTGATGAAGAGCGGAAGTCTGGTTCCTTGGGGAGGATGCAATATGGCAGACTCCAGGCACCCATACCCTCAGGGCAAGTGATGGTTTACCCACAGACCTCTGTAAACACCAGCTCCTTGGAGAAGACGCAGCTGGTGATGGCGAAGTTGCACCAGGGGCAGTGTGAGGCTGTCACTCAAGCCATGTATCATTTCCCAGTGCGGTACCCACATGCTTAGCACTCGTTACTGCTGGTGGCAGAGCAGCCTGAGGACGGTTGCTCCCGGGGAGTGGAGACGCCAGCCTTTCCCATGTGGTGTCTCACTTGGCCTGATGCTCGTTATCTTTTACCTTCTATTTCCATCGCCCGAGATCACTGCCACCCACTTCCGGCCCACCCGCCTGGCTCTACTCCACTATGAAAGTCACACTTCAAGCTGTCATTTTCTTTTTAATTTTTAATCAGTCTGTGTCAAGAAAAAAAAAGGACTCGATCAAGCTTCCAGCTCTTACTGCTCTGTCAGCACAGCAATTTTATGGATCAGAGTTTTGTTTATGTTAGTCTAAGACCCAGAGGAGGAAAGGAAGAGACACTTCCAGACTCAGAACATTTTTTTAAGTCAGTCTATTTCTTAGGATCAACACTTAGTAGATGTCATGAGACACTGGTGGGAATGTGGGATGGTCAGGCAGCAGAGGTATGAAAGCAAGAAGGGACAGTGGTTGGGGGGTGTGTGTGTGTGTGTGTGTGTGTGTGTGTGTGTGTGTGTGTGTGTGTGTGTAGTGTGTGTGTGTACATGTGCGTGCCAATACTGGAGCTTGAACTCGAGGCCTGGGTGCTGTCCCTTAGCTGGCTCTCTACCACTGGGAGATAAGAATCTCACAGATTTTCCTGCATAGGCTGGCTTCAAATATGATCCTCAGGTCTCAGTGTCTTGAGTACATAGGATCACAGGCATGAGCCACTGGTGCCCAGTTTACATTCACACTTTCTTTGGAGGCAGAATATGTTTACAGAAACAATTTCTATTTGGAAAATAAAAGCAGTTAAATTTTGGAGTATGGGTAACATAATAGTCATCCAGAAAGGGATGCCTGATTCAGACAAATTGTTAAGTGGATTCTTATTTCAGTGTCCAAACCAAACATCTTCACAAGATGCATTCGAACACATCCCCACCATGTGCAAGGTCATAGGACTTAATCACACACCATGGTCCACATGGCATACCATGAACACAAATGCTGATGCTACGTCACCAGAAGACAGCACAGGGTACGTGTGAGCTCTACTCTTTGAAGACATTTCCAGAAGGCAGACGGAGTCCTTTTTCCTTTCCTCTGTTACTGGAACTGTCATATCCTGCCTTGAGTGGAGTTATCCAGATGGAGGAAGATGGTCTGAATGTCACATGAGAGCCTTTCCTTGGGAGCCAGGTTCTTTCTGAGAGGGTGCGGGGAGGTAGGGCAGAAGTAGGTTCTGCTCCTTGCCTGCAGCTCAGCAGGGACCTTTTGCAGAGACCGACCCATCCGAATCCGATGTCCCCAGACAGTTTGAAGCAGATTTTAGAAGCTATTTTACATCATGTGTGACATGCTTTTGGAAGAGCAAGGAGTACTCACAACAAAAGTCAGTGGGATGTGGGGGGAAACTGTCCCCCATCACATGGTATGAGACATCACACACCATCCTCCAGGGAGGCGCCCGGGCACCCCCTCTGCCCTTCATCCCCACTGGTCTTGGTAAACCCTGGAGTCTCACTTAAAAGCAGTGCACCTGCAGTTTGTCAGACTCACTGTTACACTGGCGATGTATGATGGGCATCACTGTGCCCATGTAGATAAATTAGAAAACAACCTTCTCCAACTCCTCAAGCGCTGTCCTTCAGTGGCCTCACTCCAAGGTTTTAAGGTTCTTTGCCCCAAAGGAATTTCACCTGGTTAGGGATCTTCTTCCATCAGAGGAATCTCTGTAAAAGAACAGTTGTTTGTTTTTTTAACTTAGTACAATCCTAACACACCAGAATTTGCAACTCTGAGCTGTACTAGACTATAATTCCAGAGCTTAGTGATGAGAATAAAAGATTAAGTTGGGGGGAAAATCAAATAAACCAACTCCCCCACAGGACATCTATATGTTGACCAACAATTATGACCTGATTCTCAGGTTCTCAGGTCATAAAACATAAAATGTTAGATTTTTAGGACAGGCCTAAGAGTTAGGAATGCACATGCCGAGAGGCAGCGTGGCGGGCAGGCAAGGGACTCTGGGACTACTGACATTTACAGTGGATAGAAGCAAAGATTCCTGTTCTCATTAACAAAGCTACACTGGGGCTTTCCTCCCGTGGGAAACAGAGCCTTGAAGAATCAGATGTATTTTTCTCCTCTTTTACCAGGAGTTACATCCTTTCTCTGCAAACAGGTACAACTATACCTTTTTCTTCCTATAGGGAAATTCTGCACACTGAATTGCTCTGGGTTGGGATGTGGCTGGGCCCTGGTACACATGTGCAGACGACTTCTCCTTGCCTGTGTGTGATCCTGCTCTGGAGTCCCATCTTGCAGAAGTCCTTCCCAATTATAGGAAGAAGAGAAACCTCCTGTGTCATACAGAGGCTATGACAACAAAGTACAGGCCACCATAGCCTTTCAACTCGGGATGGCTCAGTGCTCTTTTGGGTCTTCTGAAATGTCTATTAATGGGCTTATTAATCCAGAAATAATTATTCCTTACAGCAATTGGCCATGCCCATGGCTGCTACAGATAGAGCAAGAAGCACTGGGAGCTGAGGGAGAAGTCAGGAGATGGAAGCAGCCCTGTGCTGCAAAGAGGGCTGAGTACAGGCAAGGAAGTAGGGTGCAGAGGCTGTGTCTAGCCTGGCAAAACACTCACCATCTGCAATGTCGATGCCTGGGCTGGTGGATGCCACCTCCCCCGCGGTGTTACCAATTGTGTCAGGGTTGTCAGAGCTGGGGCAGCTGCCCCCTTGGCACATGGGAGGTGAATATAGACTCTGGAGCAGCTCAGAAGAGCCCGAGGTGCTGTCACAGGTTTCTGACTCCCCTGGGCCTGTGTCCGTATCCCCAGGGCCGGGGTATGCTGGGGGGCTCTGGTCGTCCACAGGTAAGGGGCAGCCCTGGCCCACGGAAGTCAGGTATCCAGGGCCTAAGGCACTCAAGCCGCCACTCACAGCCTCGTCATAGGATGGGAGCATGACGGGCACGCCGTCCACTACCACGAAGTCGGGGTCGCTGCTGGAACTCCTGGGAGGGCCCCTGTGCAGGGAAACAGTGTGAACAAGTCAGCGCACCACTCCAGGGAGGCGGCTCCCAGTGCTGGCCTCTGCATCAGGAGGTCCCTGGACCCATGATGGGGTTGCTAGCATGGGGGTATTCCAGCCTCATTTCTGGGTCTACTCAGGTGAATGTGCCATGCTGCAGAGACAGGGCATTTTAGTCTTGTTCTTCACTTATCCCCTAAGCCACAAGTATGCCTCTCAACTCCCACACACCCCAACAGAAAACATCGCCATGGTGTCTTCTCTAATGGGACCCAGAAGACAAAAATCAGCCCTGATCTTGACCTTGAAAACCTACCACTGACTGGAGTAGGTAAGACCCACTTCCCCTAAACAATTGAGAATAAATAGAAAATGGAAAGACATGAAAGATTAAGAATAGCAGGTTTCGAGAACATTCTGTAAACCTCTTAATATTTAGTTGATATCCTAGAAGCTTCTTCTAGGCATAGGTAGAAAACAGCTCTGTAGGCCATTTTAAAGTACTCTGATGCACTATCAATCACAGCTATGCCTTCTAGCTCTTTGTAATCCCCTGGCTGCCTGGAGATACTGTAATTGTTCAGTGATAGTACATGGTCCCTTGATTAATAAATAATAATGCTGGAGAGAGAGACAGAGAGAGAGAGTGCATCAAGGGTAGATTTGAGAAGAAGGAAGGTGTTCTGGAACTTCAGCAAGAGTTTGGCTTGATAGGGTGCCTCATCTCTGGGTCTGGGAAGGGTTGAAGGTGTGACCATGTGGGGCTCCTATCGTCAGGCAAAGGAGAAAAGTGCTAAGTGAGGTGAGGTGTTCTCAGATGTGAGGCACAGGGGAAGGGGTGGATGCTGTCTCCCGCAAGGTGACAATTCTCTCCTTGCTCACACACCCGGGAGGTGTGAGAGACACTGGGCCTTGCTGGAAGGAAGAGAGAAGTAGTCAATTCAAAAACCCTCCTCATCTCCTAAGCAGGGAAGGTACACGTAATTCTGGGGACTAGAATGTCCCTGCAAGAGAAAAAGCAAATTCCTGTGCTAAGGCATTAGATCTCAAACAGTAATGGTGACTGACAATGCCTTCCACTGGTGCGGCTTAGATCCAATTTTCAGGCAGATTCTCAGCAGCCTTTTCTTGGTTCCAACGCAGGAGTGGGAGATATCCCATTGCACCCACTGGCTGCCCTCTTATGTCACACACAACCTGACCTTATCTCTTTTTTAGGTGTGTGTATGTCTCATCTTCCAGGGTAACATGCAAGTAGACCGCCCCCCACCCTCGGAGGGGTGCCCTTGGTGGGGCAGCACACAGCCTTGTTATCCCTGACTTGCCCAGGCCCCATAGTGCCTTGTCTCATAATGGTCTGCTGGGAAAAAAGGGCAAAGGGGCTTTCGCCACGTGGTTTTCTCTCTCCTGCTGCCCCAGAGTACTTTGTACTCATCGCCTCCTCTCTATTGCACTGACCTGGTGGGGAAGTGGGCCTTGAACTTAGTCTGGAACATCCTGGCCAGGATGACAAGCAAGAGGACCAGCAGCACGCTGGTGGCCGTGAATGCCACGATCTTCCATGTAGTTAGGAGAGTCTCGTGGGTGCTGGGCCATGTTTGCTCTGTGGTAAGAGGGAACAAAGCCATATATGAGACTCCCCAACTGTAGCACTTGCTGAGGCCCCCTCCAAGTTCCTTTTCTGGAATCTTCTGGCACATGAAACATCTACGGTCTGCCACCTGGTCCCAGTAGCTCAATGGAGACAACACATACCTGATATGCCTCCTGAATTACATTCGTATCTTTGGGACACCAAAACCCATCTCCAGCTTGGATTCTGCTAGGTTGAAGACAGACCTGCACATTCATATGCCAGACCACGTGCAAAAGCCTGGCACCAGCCTAATGAATGTGCTTTGCTTCTTGGACAGAGAGACTGAAGAAGTTATCTTGAGCTAGACCAAGGGCTAAGGAAATGGAAGCTGGGCTAAGACTCTGGTGATAATCTATGACATGTTGCTGGCTTGGCAAAGGAAGGTGGGGTGAAGCAAAGAAGAGGAAGACTGAGAGGACACAGCTTTTCCTTAGTTCTCACTCCATCACCTCTGACCATCAGGTGTCTGCCAGGTAAGGGGCAGTAGCGCAGACATTTCCAGAACAGATTCCTGTCCTTTTGTATAAGTTTCCCTGCCTCCTACCTTCTCCTCCAACCTTCTCTCTCCCCTCATCATGCTCAGGGGGTCATCTTCAGACTATACTTTTCTCCTCTCTGGCTCACATAACCATCTGTGAACCTCCAGCTACCCAGCATTAGTAAACACTTCTCTCCCATGCTGTGTTCAGAGGAGTAGTAGGCAGACATCATTAACTGCTCCAGGCTGAGGCTATGGCCTTGGACTAGAAAACACTGGGGGGAGTGGGAAGGAGGGGGAAGGGCAGGAGACCGTGGGTATGTGTGGTGCCCAGGCCTCCATATGATAGGGTCATTACTAGGTGTGCTGAGATCAGCAGCAAAGTGGAATTATAAGTAATCTGTTACTATTAGCAAGCAATGGAACTTGCAAATGGTCTTCATTTGTGTAAGTGAGAGCAGAACAGAACATCATTTGCATTTCGTTCTGCATTCTTCAGTAGGGGGTATAAAGGTGGAGTCAAGCATTGCTTGGGTTCCAGAGCAATATGCATACTTAGAGTGATACCCATGGGTATCCTTGCCAGTGGAAGAGTTGAGGCTGGGAGAATTAAGACTGGGTAAAGAGGCTGAGATTCTGCCAAAGCTGCCAGGGGCTAGAGATCCTGTTTGGAGGGTGGATGGAGTTTTAGTCTAGAAATGGGTGGCTTCATAGGCCCCAAACTGGGCCTAGAATCATCTGGCAGAGTCCAGCCTTAGCTCCACATTGCCACAATAATATCTTTCTACAGCCTTTTCTTGATGCTGGGTGTGGGAATGAGATGGATGCAGCCCAGGACATAGGCGGACCAAAGCGGGCAGGCAGCTAGTGATGGGCGGTAAGCCTCCCACACCTCACCTGATTTGATGCAGTAGACTTGGTAGGAAGGAAACCACTCTCCATACTGGCAGGTGATATACTTGTAGTCACTGGTGAGGCTGTATCCAGGATCACAGTAGAACTCCACCACCGTTCCGTGGTTGTATCGCTCACAAGGCCGCGGGTGGCAGATGAAATCTCCGTGACTTACCATTGGAGGTAGTGGACAGACTTGGGCAGTGGGGGGAAATAAAAGTGTGAGAACCACAGACTCTCTTTTTCTGTGTCCTTCGCACACACCACACACACACACACACACACACACACACACACAGAGTTAAAGATGTACTTATAGGTAAATTGCCTTTCAGAGAAACAGATATTGCCTCTTTGGTATGCTCCCATAAGGTCAATCAACGAAAGCCTGCTAGAATATTCTGAGCATGTGCAGTGGTCACATGATGTTGTAAAGTCCATCGTATAAGATGGGCTCACTTTACAATTCAAACAGCATGCCTATGTAATAGTATTAAGCTGCTCTATTAATAATGCATGCTATTATGTGTCAGACAACCTAGTAAATAAAATTAAGATATTTACAAATAAAATCTTTCCTGAAAGGTACAGCAATGCCAACTCTGTTTCTGTGAGCACAGTAGTTATTTGAGACTCTTCAAAACATGGGGCTGTGGCCCTCCTTAGTCTCCCAGAGTCCTGCTGGGGTTTGGCCAAAGAACAATACTGAATGATTTTTGCTCTTCTTTTGGAACCAGGCCATGAACTCCCATTCACAGGCACAGTAGACCAACAGGGACCAGGGGTTTGGAGCCAAGGGTTCTGGGCTGGCCTCTGCCACCAACACACTGTGTGACCCGGAAATTGGACACTTTGTAAGTCTTGATTCCCTCCTCTGTGAGGTAGAAGCCTATTTGGATCTAGATTTTGTCTGGGAGGCTTTCTGACTAATATTCCCTGTTGTCAGAGGGAGAAAACTGTTATAATCTTGAGATTGCATTTCTAGGCTGAAATATAAGAATAGCTCCAACTCCTGAAATGGAAAGACCTCATTCAGCTCATGCCACAAGAGCTCTCTTCCCTGGAGAAGAACTCACAAGTAAATGGCCACGTACACATTTGTCAGGAAACAATCTGCGAATCTTACCCATTTCAGATTTAAGTCCACACTACTGAGACCTCAGTAGTAGTAGACCAAAACAAACCCTAAAAAGAGACAACTGTGTGTGTGTGTGTGTATGTGTGTGTGCTGGGGGGGGGGTGGTCCTGGGGCTTGAACTCAGGCCCTGAGCTTTTTGCTCATGGCTAGCACTGTACCACTTGAGCCATTTCTGGCTTTTTGACAGTTAATTTTTGGTGGTTAAAGATCATGAGTTAAGAGTCTCATGGACTTTCTTGTCCAGACTGGCTTTGAGTCATGATTCTCATATTTCAGCCTCCTGAGTAGCTAGGATTAAAGGAGTGAGCCATGGGTACTTGGCAAGAGCAAACTTCTGACCTTCTCTCAGAAAGTAACTAAATATATTAACTAGTGTACAACCTGAGACACCACCTACCACACACAGGCAGTTAGTACTACACTGGCAGCCTGAGTCCATTGAGGCTACGTAACTAGACAGCCTCTTGATAGAGTTGTCCCAAGCCATGCCACCTGATGCTCCTCCCCTGATCCCTCTAATGAATGCAACGCTGAAATGCATATCTGCTTGGCTCTTAAAGCTAGGGAGTCTCAGGAAACTATAGAGGGAAAGGGAGCTGAAGCATGTGTTCCACACAGTGAACTTCCACTGCACTGCTCACCAGCTGAGCAAGTGCTTTCTTATCTCTGAGCTTCCACCTCCTCATGTAACACAAGAGTCTCTGCGAGCTGTCTTCAGGAATGCTGCTAAGGGAAAGGCCTTCGTTCAGAGCCCACATATTGCAGTGGGGAGGCCAGAACCTGAGCATCGAGAGAGAGGAAAGGGTTCTAGGCTGTTTTGGCTTCCATGGAAGGGCAGAAAAGCCAACAGGGGCATCTCAAAATCAGCAACAGCAGGAGGTGACTTCCACCCCTGTAGTTAGAAATGCTATGTCATGTCCCAGAGTCAGCTAAGGGGAGATTTCAACTCTGAGCACTAACATGTAAAGATAACTGTGAGGAGACAGAGGCATTAACTTGCTTGGCTGTAGTGATGTCACTATGTGTATGCATATCAAAACATTGTGTTGTATACATAGAATATATAAAACTTGGATGAAAGAATATAGAGAGAGCATCAAGCTCTCCTGCTAGCAGGCTCTCCCAGCAAGTCTCTGAACTGTTTCCAAGGGCCAGAAAACAGCATGAAAGAGGTGCAGTATAAGTGTGCAAGTTTGTTATCAGAAGCACTTGCTACTTGGCCTGAAGAGCAAAAGACTGTTCAAATCACTGAATTATCCCTAGGCAAATGGTCCTGTGATTTGCTAAAGCATCTCTACACTCTTCATTTAAAGAGGCAAAGGGAGGCTTGAGAGAGGGTGGGTGGAATCGTCCAAATTTGGGTTCAAATGACCACTTTCCTTCTGATACAGTATAGGGTGTCACTTCTTAGGGTCTGAACTTCTTGAGTTGTAAGGATTAGAAGTATGTGTAAATTTCCATATACAAAGTCAGGGACACAGTGGGTACTTAATAAGTAATAGCTATTATAGCATTGCTGCCTAAACTAACTTGCTGGATATCTGGTGCTGGACCTTCCCAGGCAGTGCCCCATTTCCAGGTCGCTTATGCAAGGAGGGTTTTCAGGTTGTCCCAAGGCGGCCCCAATCCTCAGAGAACCTGGACAAATGTTTCCACTGCGTTTTCTGAGGTCAGATAACAGCCATGGGATGGTTGCTGTGTTCTGACACTGTCATGGTTGGAAGCATGTAATGAACATGCACTTCCCCTAAGTGGAAACATTTATCTTCACACCTCACACTAACGACGGCACCCAGCAAACCATTAGCTTTTCTGTAGAGGAATCCCCTGTGTGCTGATGCTTGTCACAGAGTGGGGAGTGTTTCTTTTGACTTGGAAGGAAATGAGAGCAGAAGTACTGTCGATTATAAGCCTGTAGACACAGATTTAAAAATCCAAAGGAGTACTACCTGGGGTTCAAAGAGACTTCCATTCCTACCCAACACAGCCTGACCATGGGAGGAAACTGAGTTCTGCTATTCTATCCTTTCCACACTGCCCCTAAGAGGCAGGCCATTCTAGACAGAGACAGATAAACAGACAGACAGACAGATAAGCACACACTCCAACCCAAAGAGCTCATGCACAGGACAAACAGCCCTATTAACCATGGCTGCCCAGCTAGCATTTGAAATAATCCACACTTTCCACGAAGCTCCAGTGAGCCAATGCAGTGTGGCTTCACCTCCAAACTGCTTTACGCTCAGCCTGTGACTCACGCCATTAGCTGCTAGTTCTGAGCAAACACCCCTGTGGGTGGCACAGATTCTTCTGCAACTTAACTTTAAAAACACTTTCTTACCACTTCAGGAATGATCAGCAATAGTGACTGCTTTGATGAGGCTTGTAGTGTGGACATTTAATGGCTACAAAGCAGAATCAAAGCAAAGCTCTGTTGAGGTTCAACCAGAAGAGGAGAAAAAAATTACAGTCCACCAGCTGTCAATGCTCTGTTCCTTGTTGGTTGACAGAGGGCTACAGTACTTCTCAGAATAGCAGGAAAATTCCTCCCTACACAAAGGGCTGCAGAACAGTTTTTTTTAAAAAATAGGTTTTGTCTAGGCCCTGTATTGGCTAAAAATGGCCTGCTAGGGTTGGACAGTGAACGAAAGCTTGCTATGAGACTTCAGATTCCCTAAATAAGTTCTCCCTACTCCCCCCCCCCCCATTTCCCTATCCTGGAAAGTTCATGGGCAGCTCCTTTTATTCCCATGAAAGTCCTGTACTCACACCTTCTGCCTCTTGTCCTTTTCAGATTACATCCAGGACAAACACCAGCTTCCTCAGGACACCTCTGTACCTAGCCAATGACTGCATTGTTTACCCAGATGCTTCTTGACCTACAGTGTATGTGTCCTGATAATTCATCATACAACTAGTGTAAATCCTGTCTCATTAGAAGTGTATAATTGTAATGTTAGATTTGATCAGCTAATACTTGTGGAAGGCTTCACGAGATGCTGATCTATAGTTTTCTTGTAATTTCTTTGTGATTTTAGGGTAATGCAGCCTCACAGAATGAGTCAGGAAGTATTCCCTCCACCTTCATCTTCCCACTCAGTTTCCTCCCCTATCAAACAAGAGAAATCTACTCACTAGAGTTTTTGTGAGGATTTTAAGAATGAAGGAACCTTGGCAAGCAGCTTGCTAATGGAGGTTCACACTCGGTACTAAATTTGCTTGGCTTATTTTCAGAGGCAGGGGCCTATAGCTCTAGCATGGACACAAGGTGAAGTTGCTGGGGTGTTTGGGGAGAGGGGAGCATTTTTGCTGACTGCCTGGTGACTGCTGACTAACAGATTTCAAGTTAAGGAACAGCTCACGTAACCTCTGACCACAGGTTCTCTGCTTCAACAGCGACCACTGAGAGACACAGAAAAGAGACTTAACTTCTATTATGCTTGGGCCATGATCTATTTTTGGGAACCTTCACAGTAACGGTCTATCATAAACAGCTAGCCTAAGAAATGAGTAACAGATAAGCATTTATTCTGCGAACCAGGATTAGCTGCTTGAAGAATGGTCAGCACTCACGCTTGTTGCCATTTGATGCTGCATTTGAAGAGTGTCTTAATGACTTGAGTCCGTGGTTCTTTAGCTCTATTTGTACACTACAAACACCTGGGGAGTTTTGTCCATTTAGCCAGTGTTGGGTTCTGGGCTTGACTAGGCCTTTACAACTTTCTCAGTGCTTCTACATGGTAATTAGAGTTGAGGAACACTGCCTAATGCAGTTATGATAGAGAGCTGGAATAAAACCATCAAGTTTTTCTCCATTTTCTACCTGCTAGGGATCGGGGCATATTACACTCTGGAGCTAGAGGGTCTTCACTTTCCACCAGGTCCTTGCCATCTGAACTGTAGTCCATCAGTTGTGGAATCAGCTAGGAGTTCAGAAATACAAGGCGCAGTCTGGATATAGTGGCACATGTCTGTAATTCTAGATACTCAAGAGATGGAGGCAAGAGAATCAAAAGTTTGAGGTCACTTAGTTAAAGCGAACAGGGAGATCTTGTCT